GTGTGTGTGTGTGTGTGTGTGTGTGTATGTTATACATAAAGCACATTCTTTGTACCGAGATGTGGCATTGGACTTGGCAAAATATAGGGAGGTTAGTCAGCTCCTTTAAGTACAAGTGAGACATGGATCCTCATATCCATGACACAGTAACATAGGTTACATGATAACAACCCGTAAGGCATGGACTCATGTTCCTTTCTCTCCTCGATGTCCTCCCTTTATGCCCCTCTTTCTTCTCCTTTTTGTGTTTATCTCTAATCAGTGCCATAGAGGAAAGCAACATAGGTTCCATATTTTGGTTTCTTTCTTCCTCTAAATTAACTAATTACAGATGGAATGGATGAGATCCTGGAGGGAGAAGAGTTCTTGGTTTGAGCGAGCAGGCCTCCTATTGTCCCGTGGACATCTGCATATAAACTCCTAAACCAAATTATCCAAACCCTCCTTCCATTCCAGTGGGTCTTATACAAAAACTGAGAGTGGCTCTCAACTTTGACAGATACATAAAAGATTACAGGTCATCTTTGCATAAATTTGTAGTCCACTTCCAGAAAAAAAACATACATTCCTGCATGACAATCCAATCTAACCCTGAGTTACTCCCATAGTTGTTGAGATGTTCCAACCTAGGTGGTAATCCCACTCCAGATTCTCGGTCCTCTGTTATGGGCAAGGGATCTTTAAAGGATCTCAATTTTAAAGTTTTGGGATCATGGTCCTCATTGTTAGGGATCTCGACCCTCTAACTTAAAGACCAAGATAACGGCCAAACTGATGATTTTCTTTACTTATAGCCCAGCTAGCAATGTAACTATACTTTTAAACACATAGCTAGCTGGATATTGATAAAGAGATCCCTATTTTAAAGAGTATATATAGTCATAGATTTTACATACTCTTTAAGGTTCAGAGCATGATCCCCAAAAATTCAGGTTCAAGATCCCCAAAAGGTTGAGATCTCAATGCCATACATTTGGGGATCCTGATTCCTAAAATATGCATTTTACCAACGCCTTTCACAATCCCCTACTCCCCGTCCCTCTCCTTATCCCAACAACTATGGTTATCCCAACTAGTCACCCACTCAAGACAACCCTGCATTCTCATGGGACTTGCCATAAAAATTGAGTTTGGAATCATATAATCTATGGCCCACAAATCTCTAAACTATCTTCCACAAGGATACTGCAGAGAGCCAACTAACTTTCACAGATCAGGTCCCCAATTCTTAAAAACCAGGGAGATTTACAAAACGGCTCTACATGACAAGTTGCGTTCATGATCACTCTCTTTCCTTGCAACTACACAGAAGATGATTGAGGGCATACTTTATGAAATGGCAAACTCTCTCAACCATCACCACACAAGACCAATAGCCTATGAAACACTCCACTGATTCAAAAACAATTCAGGACGAACCAAATAAGCTTACAGAAATGCCCAAACCTTGGAAAAACATCAAACCAATATAAAAGTCAGCCAAGAGTTTTACCTGTGAACACAAGACGAAGATGTTTGGGGTCTACAACCCTCTGCTTTCAAGGCAACATGTGGCAACTATCTTATCAAGAGTGGCAAACCAACCAACAAGCAGGCAGCATAATGAGCTTGCTTGTCCCAATGTATTCAAATTCGCTTCGCTTCGACCGAAGCCTTCGGATTTTAGGCATAAACCGAAGTGAAGCAAAGCCTAGCGCTGCCGCTTCGACCAGATTCGGACCACTTCGGGCTTCTTCAGTCGGATTTGGGTATGCTTCGGGCAGCAAAGAAATAGCTATATAAAAGTATTTTTTTTTATTATTTATTATTTCGCCCAAAAAATTTATTTGTTCCCCGGCCTGGCCAGTACCTAGGACAGGACAGGCCATTCCGTTTTCTTGTTCTAATGAATGATAGATCAAATGATTTGCCTGATTCAAAAACTAAAAAACTTTCCTTCTTGTTATTGAAACAACTTTTGTTCTTGTTTCACTCTTATAGAATCTATTATTATGAATGTCTTTCTCATTTATTTTCTTTCATTCTATTATTCTATTCTAATTACTATATTCTTTACTTTCACTTTTTTTTTCAAGAGACAAACCTTGTACAAATGCCTGAGTCCGCATCACACTATGATTTGATTTCTGATTTCTTTTCTTTTTTCATTATCATTACAATTACATTCATTAGTTGTATATATTTTATATATAAATATCTAATTTATTTATATTAAATTTTAAAAAAAAGTCTGAAGTCTTTCACCGAATAGGGTGAAGCACCGAATTGCTTCATTTTTCTCACCAAACCGAAGAAGACTCTGAAGAAAATCTGACAACATTGGTTTGTCCCATGGACTATGGGATTTTCTTTTTCTCATACCTAATTCAGTGCATAGATAGAATTTCAGCGATAACATTGTCCCACTTCCATGATATCTTATCTGGTGGAATGAAAACTTCTTGAAGGCTCACCAACATGCAGTTCAAGTCCTCAATTTTAGTGTCCCGAGGTTTTCTTCAAGAACCATACCCACTTGTCACCCTTCCCCCCCAATCAAAATAAGAAAAGTTTACTTCAAACTTTCACTCAATTTATTTGTGATTTTTTTTTTACATGAGAACTTGAGGTAATAAAAATTGAGAAGTTTCTTACAAGAGGAAATAATCATAAACATTTAATACTTTTAGCTCTTCCTAGAAGTTGGCAATATTGCATATTCAGCAACACTATCTAGAAGCAGTGCAAGTGCAAAGATAGCATTGCCATTATCATAATAATTGAACTTAGAAACAGGTTCCAAAAATTTGTAAAATAGTCCAAACTAGACAAAGACCTAATAATTTCTGATAGAAAGCAAAACAAATGTATATAAATTAGTAGTAAAAAGACAGAAATTCAAAAGACAAGAGGCATAAGGTTGCAGGCATAGAAGTAGCACATATATCCATGAATACTTGATTTATTTTTATTTTTAAATATGTATCCATGAATAGGCAGACAAAAAATACATGCTCATTCAATTTACAGATATAGAAACAAAAGTACCTGCAATGCTAGATCACTATGGTCATCCAGAAGATAGAATGTCAAAGACTCCAAAACTGAGTGCCTTGTAATAGAGAAAGTGACAGCATAATCATCCACTATAGGTCTCCATTCAGCATCAGGAAGTGTCCAATGCTGATCAAATAAGTAGTACAACAACTGTATGCATGTCAAAGAAAACAGGAAAAGGGGAAGAAAAGGAAAATAAATAGAATTTAAGACCATGAATACATTGAAATCAAGCCTATGAAGGATACAATAGCTTGTTTCGCAACAAGAAGATCAGAGCTACCCTGCAAGAAAAGAGTATCTACAGCACTTCGCATATTCTCAAATGGATAGCTTCCTTCCATTCCCTCAATTTTGGATCTAAACAATGATCTGGAACTAACATCTTTCTTCAAACACGTAACTTCGAAAGGAATTCTTGTTTCTTCTACAAAATCTTGTTCTATTCCAAGATTTGATAAAGCATCTTCAATAAATAGCGTAGATCCAGGTTGTATGCCTGTTATCTGACTAGTTGAATCAGGCCATGCACGTTGAATAGCAGCTGATTTCCTCTCACGAATAGCAGATCGCCACTGTATGATGCTGGGATAGCAGGACTGGATATTATCAAGGAACTGATATCTCACGCACCAAGCCATAACCTCCAAATGCTGAGAACAACAGAATAGAGTCAAGCTGCTAGACGGTTAGCACGATAATGATCAATCAAGGACACTCTTCTGGCCAAGATAAGAGAATGATGCATTCATATCTCATGACTTTGCAAGCCTTAATTGCGATTATTATCTAGTAAACCAACACATAAAGCTGTAGAGAAGTCTGGTGGATTCGTGCGCAAGCGCATAGAGGGCATATTTAAAAAACTTCAACAAGCATAATTTCTAAGTTTGAACTAAAGCAATCAAAAGACATAAAAAGGTTGAAACTTTATTAATTTCAACAAGCATAATTTCTAAGTTTGAACTAAAGCAATCAAAAGATATAAAAAGGTTGAAACTCTATTAATTTATAAATTTATTTCGAACTTTTGCATTTTGTATTCTCAGATTCTTTGTTACAAAAGCTCAAACTATTCATCGAGGCCCTTTGATGTCACTTGTCCACAATCCAGAATGTCAATACTACGTTCAGTGTTCTTGGCAAAATATATGTTTTAAAAATAAGAACAAAAAAAAAATCACTGTATGAGACGATGATAAAGGCAGCTGCCTAAGCTGGCACCATGGTGATCCAGGCAGCCACCTAAGCTAGTACCTGGAATCAACTTGTCCCAGTCAGGGGGCCCGGGTAGAGGTGTAATTGCTTGGGGAATATTTTTATACACTAAGAACTACATGTTTCAGTTTTAAGTAATTCTGTGAAATTCAAGGGTCTTCGACTCTTTGGCACCAAAGATATGATCCCTAAGCCATTATCCTCCTAAAGATCGTGATAATACATTCAACTAAATGACCTCCTAGCCATTGTCCTCCTAAATATCGCACCCATACGATCATCACTAGTGCTCGTGAAAGGGAAGCCCCAAACTCTGATATTCCCTGCTCCACAAAAGAGAAAGATCTGCCAACTTTACCTCTTTGTCACCTAACAGCTAAACTATACCCTTTTTACACTATATATTAAAAAGAGCCCACCTCTTGCATTGGTCCCCCCCCTCATGGAACTCGGTTTCTTCAAAACAATCAGGGTCTCTTCAAAACAATCAGTTTTATACTTTCCAATGTTTCAATAAAATGTTATTTATCAAAAAACATTAACCCAAAAATAGGTCCCTTCCATCTCCATATCGTTATCATGCATTCCCTTCCATGGGTATGCGACATGTCCTAATGTTCAGCTACCTCTAACCGCCTGTCCCACTTCAAAGATCACATCTCATTGGGAGGCTTGAACAACAGTGAAGACCCTTTAGACATATCAGATTTTTAACTAACTCTGGAAACGACAGATAGCAGCAGATAGATTCGCTATCACAAACAGTATATTACATAAGTAAGGACCTTGCCAGAATGTATCTTCTTACCACATTTGCATGAATATGAGAGGTGACTTGAAACTCAGCATGAGAGCATTGAAGGGCCTGCCAACCAATGAGAAACAAAGCAATACTTCCTAAAGGAAAATAACCCAGATTTTCCTTTGATTGATTATAATATAATCAGATAGAGTTGCTCTTTCTAAAAGGCAAGTCCTTGCAACTGCATAATCACAATTCACAACTCACACATTAGCAACCAACTTTGTACCACTAATAACCTAAATTTGGATCAGCGAGTCATAAACAAACCCATCAAGAATAGTCCATATGCTCTTAAAACATTGCTTTGCATCAAAAGGAACCAGTCAAATCAGAAGTTCCAAACTGACTAGAGTTTCACAGGTGCCTCCTAAACCACCCCCAAAATACATAGTCTATACACCCCCTTCACCTACACTGCTCCTTCAGCCAATGCCACAAAATATCGAGGCCTATTGCATGCAGCCATTCACCATTAGAACCATTGAACTAGTAATTCAGTCCCAACCACAAAGCATGTAAATACATTATACATGAAGTCAACTGACTTTGGAGTTCGGACTGAACCATTCAAATCTATTCAACATGGTCAAGGGATAAATAAAAATAATGACCACACCAACAAAGAGTCAGCCAATTACAGCTAACTCACAGTAGTTACTTGCAAGACTCATTAACTCAAGCGAGTTAGAGCAACCAAGGAAATCCTTGAATTGTTAGTTTGATCACAAATCGGAACTAAAAGGGGGCTTCTGGTTTTCTCTGGTACTCAAGGATTAAAAGGGGTCATCTGATCCCCCTTTCATAACGAGAGCACTAAATTGATGAAAAGACTCCAGAAAAAAAAACATATTAATGGAACATTTTCTCATACCACATTTAGGATTACCCAATCTCTCTATATATGCAAAATCTTTTTCATTCACCATTTTTCTTCAGTGCATCTTGTCCCAATAATGAAAAAGGTGGTTAATTCCTTTTATGTGAAGATAAGTTTACTAGTTTTTTTCTAATGATTTCCAGTCCTAAATTTCCTAGTTTAACAATTTTATAATCTAAAAAATATTATTGATCTATGCTTTTCCGAATGCCATATTCTGTATCTTCCATTATCTTCATTTTTTTTGAGAAAGATTGACATTTCTTTGAAAATACACAAAACTTGCATGACATGGTCAGATGATTGTGGTAGAAAAGTCACTCAGCCACTTATTATAGCCGCAATTTATTCAAGTCATCAGCAAATAATTTTGCCTTCCGCCCAACGAGAATCGCACTGCAAAGCGATCCTGCTCATCCATCCACCCCTTGAAACTTCACCAACGATATGAGCCTCTGGGGTGCTTGTGAAACCTTATTGTAGGAACGGCTCGAAGGGAAGCGTCCCTCTTCCTAGCTTGGATTCTGAGTTAGACGTGATGAGTCATAATTTAGCAAATGTTAGTTTCGTAACATTGGCTTTTAAACCAAGAGCGATGACCATTTCTTTGAATCAACAGTAACTCATGTACTATGTTAAGTTGCTACTGTATCATGCTCACTAGTAGTTTATTTTTGTGTCACAACAGTATAAGCCCAGCTCATGTTCCCAATTGGTGGTTGAACAATACAACACTAGGCCTAACTTGCTTAATTTTTCTTTCTTGATTTTTCCTATTTCCTAGAATGTTATGATATTCACTTTTATTTTCCATTAAGTATAAAATATTTTTCATGTCACATTCTATCGATTCATGCTGCATAACTTGACAAGCTAACCTGAGTAGTACCACATTGAAGTCACAATTTGTACACTATGAAACAAACAGACATCTTTGAAACTTAGTTCAGCAATAGCAATATATAGAGAGTTAAAAGACAAGGTTGTTTCAAGTTTCCGCACCATGACCAAAAAATAATTTCATTTAATGGAAAAGCACCTGCTTAGCTTTTGAGACATTATCTAAAAGATGGTGCAAGTCTTGAAGTTGTGGAGAAAGTGTTCCTCTGAATGATAAGTCCAACGCCTCAAGGACATTTGCAATTCCATTGAGGTGCACCAAAAGCTTCTGGAGTACTGCAGACTTCAGTTTCATCTCTTTAGACTCAAGATTATCTGCACATGAGGTCTACTCTTAACATTTGAAAACTGATCATAGAATAAACAACTTGAATTGTTCTAATATTTTTAAAAATAACTTCAAAAAAGCCTTTAGGCATACATATCCCATGAAGCCCTTCTAGGATGTTCCCAAATGTCCTCTTGCACCATTCCTTGACAACAACCTCGTCAAGAAGCATAGCAAGAACAGGATCGCTGGATACAGCACTTTCATCCATACAAACATCAGTTATATCTAGCAATCATTAAGGTAACAAAACACAAAATCCAAGCGGAAGGTAAAAAAGGAGGAAACCCAACCATAAGTGCTTCATATGACTGAGAATCAAGATATCAGCACTAATGAAGGATACAATGGCAGATTAAAGAGACCAAATTGTGCTCAATGGCAACATCAAACAGAGAGTACAGATGTTGAATATCAGCAGCCAAATACTTTCCTTCATTTTTGTCTTTAGATCTATCATCACTTCTTATAGAAATAAGGCCGGCATCCACACATTCATAGTATAGACGCAACCTGAACCTATTGCCCCTCTTCGGTATGGGGATTCTACAAATTGGGCACATATCACAACGTTGACTGCATTCAGCACATAACGAAGCATGCCCACATGAATTCAGAACATGCTGAACATAACGCCCGCAACTTCTCAAATCTCTAGTAGCACGACATCGCTCAATCTTTGCTTCATTGCACAGTTCTAGTGGATCAGTTGATGCCAAGCGTACCAAAGCATCCTGAAAGAGAAATTACAATTTAATAAAGGACTCACTCATGCAATGCCAAGAATAGCAATCAATATTAAAAACAAATTAATTGTTTTTCTCTAAATAATGAATTAAATACTACAAAATCCGGATTGTCCTTAAACTGGTATAACTACTACATCAAATACATTTTGAATATTATATTCATCTTAATCTTTTCACATTTCAAAATAGCAATCGACATTGAAAATAAATTAAAAGCTTTCATCTAAATAATTAATTAAATGCTACGAAATCCAAAGATTGTCTTTGAATGTATTTAAGCTGGCATACCTAATACATCAAATACATTTTGAATGTTAAATTCATTTTATTCTTATCAGATTTCAAAATGGTGCAAGTGCACCCACCCAAATGAAAAGGAAGTGAATTAGGTGCTTATAGACATATAAGTACTTTTATATTTGTAATGCATTCCCAACGCATAGCATAATTATCCAGCAATCACCCAAGCACACAGAGAGTGCATTGACTCCACAATGGGCCAATATTAATGCATTAACAGTTCAAGTAGGGCCATAAGACATGATATTACATACAAAATAATACTCTGGAATCAACTTTAAAGAAACACAAGGTGCCATAAGCAGTGTTCAGGGACTCAACCAAATCAAATAGTTACTTGGCTTCAGCCTATGGGCGAGGCGAGTTCCCATGTACCCTACATGGGAACGAGTATAATACTCCGGTGAGTACTGTACATGCTCGCTCGAGTACTGTACACTTTGTGAATTTGTGAATTGCTTCAGCCTATGGGCGAGGCGAGTTCCCATGTACCCTACATGGGAAGGCGTATAATACTCGAGTGAGTACTGTACATGCTCGCTCGAGTACTGTACACTTTGTGAAATTTTATATATATATATATATATATTTGGTGGGGGAGGGAAGATTCATTCCCCATTTTTGCCAAATAATCTTGCCCAAAGCCCAAACTCCATGCCATTTGATCACAAATTCACAATTAGGTTTGTTTTTTACTAGATCTAGCTAATAGAAGTGTTACTTACAAAAAACACTTCAATCTCTTGCTTTCAAAGATAAAAAAAAATTTCAATTTTTTGGCCCAATTTTTTTAGATTTTGATTCCATGGATCTCGCAGATGCAAAGTCCAATACCAAAAGTTGCTTGGGGACTTCCATTCGTGCTTAGAGAAGGTTTGACCCAGACTTCATGTCCCGATATAGGCCAAGCACAAAGTTCCAGATTTTGGCCTCAAAAACTAAAGTAAATTTTATTCTTTTTAGTTAAATTCATAACAATCATTTAGTGTCATATTATTGATTGCTATTATGTGTTATCATTTCAATCAGTTCCTTTTTTCTTTTTTTCTGGCATTCCAGAAAAAAGACATGTATTAATTACGTTTTCCAAAATTTTATTTACTTAGGGTGCATTTTGATGAATGAGCTTGAGATTTTTATTTTTTGTAGACTTAATGATATGAACAGCATTTTTTTCTGCTTTTTTGTTGCATCTAGGATGTATTTTTTGCAGTTAAGGAACTGTTTTTTAAGGAATTATTTTTGGACTAGGGGGATCCATTTTTCTGAAGTAGGTTAAATCTTGTGCATTGGGCTTTTTCTAATATCATTTTTCTTATTTTTCCTCTAAGAACCAATTTATTTAATGATGACAGTTACCTTTGATTGAAGTAATCATATTTTATTTTTTTTATATCAGTTACCTTTATTTCAAATTTATAACAAGAAAATTTATCAAAATACCCATAAAAGATTAATTATTTAAAGTTTTACCCTTTTGCAACTATTCCATGTCATGATCATGCGTCTTTTGAAAGGTATTTTGAAACTAAATCAAAAGACATGGGTAAAATGTTAAATAGTTTATAGCTTATAGTTATTTTGATAATTTTCCCTTTATAATAAGATCAATTTCGCCACTTCATATTTCACTATTACTTGTATGACGAACATATTGATTAAGTATTTATGGATATGAACTTTTGTAGACCTAAGAGATGATGAGGGAGGATCCAGCTTGGGATCATGGGGAGAAAAGGTGTAATTTCTGTGGGAGGGCGATGACAAGGGGGATTAATCACCTAAAATATCACCTAGCAAAATTTTAGGGTGATGTTCACTCGTGGCAAAGTGCATGTGGCAGTTAAGGAGCAGAACCCAAAGACATCAGAGGTGGCAAATGGAAAGAAGGTGCAGAGACAGAGGATGATTAAGGAGATAGGGAGAAAATATTATGCAACCACAAGAGATAATAGGGAGCAGAGTATTTGGCCTCAATGGAGTAGACTAGGCAGGCTAGTCAAGATATATAGGAGAGACGGCTGCAGATTGATGAGATGTTTGCTAGACGGGTATGAACTTCTAGGCCAAACTCCCGAACCTATAGTGCCTAGCATGGGAGGGTGTGGGCTTGGGCTCTTTAGGTCTTGTTCTTCCATATTGAGAAGGTCTTTCTCATCCAGGCCTTCTAACACATCCCGGCCTTCTACTATTTACTAGCCCCTACCCAAACCCATCCTAAGGCCCCAGCCCCAACCTCAAGCCCCTGAAACCTTAGGACTTAATCCCCATAGCTCCAATATCACCAGAGGACATTTCATTGCTTATGGGCATCAAAACTCAAGGTTAAGGTGAAGGGGGAGGTTGCAAGTTGTTTTCATGGCAATGCCATCCCATTTCAATAGATAACTTTGAATATTATCAAGTTATAATATCTGCTATAGTTGAAGCACGATCCGGACTCAAGGGTTCAACTGCAGATAAGCTTGCAAAAAAATGTTTAAATGATGAGGTGGCTGAAGTAGATTTGTTCCTTCAAGATTTTAAATAGTCATGGGCTACAGCTGAGGTCACAATTATGTCAGAGGGTTGGCAGGATGGGTGTAGAGGCACATAGTTAATTTCCTGATCTAACTGGCCTAAAGAGATAGTTTCTCATTCCAGTGTAGAACTATCCCCACAAAAGGAGGACCAAAAAGCTTCCATTTAGGAAGATTGATAAAGTAGTATAAAATATTGCAGAAGAAAATGTGGTGCAGTTGATTGCAGATGGTGAGAAAAGTTATGTAAAGGCAGGAATGTTGTTTATCAAAAAGATACAGCATTTAGTTTGGAGTCCATGTGTTGCTTACTGTGTAGATCTCATGCTGGAGGTTGTAGGTGAGTTGAGGAAGGTGGATATTTGTGTTAAGAGGGCCAAAAAAATCACCAAGTTTATATACAACCACTCATACATCCTTAGCTTAATGAGATCTCATTGTGATCGAGAGCTCATCAGGCCTATTATCACGAGGTTTGCCACTTCATATTTGACCATAGAGTTGATTCTAAGGCAGCAGTCAGTAGTGAGGCAGATGGTGGCATCAGAGGAGTGGCTCTCCACATCTCTTTGGAGGAATTCAACTGAAAGTTAGGTTCATGATATTCTTAGCAGTCAGATATTTTGGGTTAAACACGATGAAGTTGTTTGGGCCGCCACACCACCTGTGCAGGTACTAACGTTGGTTGATGCCAATCTTAAGCCAGTCAAGGGATTCCTTTATGAGACATTAGATCAAGAGAAAGTGGGCAATAGGTAGAATTGCAAATTCCATGAAAAGGTTTAGGAGATCATCAATGCCAAGTGGGCTAACCAGCTACACCACCATATCAATGTGGCAAGTAATTATTGTTTCAAAGTTCCATTTATGTTTTAATGCTAATTTGTGATCCGAGTTGGCATATTAATGCTTATATTAACACTATATGCAAGCTTTTTCCTTAAGTTGAATTATTATTATCAACTGGGTCAAATGAAACAACCCGAGATCATAGAAGGGGTGAGGTACTGCATTGAGAGACTAGAGCCTGATGAGCATGCCCAAATCCATGCCATAAGAGAGGTAAACTTATAAATAAGTTCTAGTAGTCAAACACTGTTGTTGTTAGTTTGTTGTAGTATGATTGATTATGTCAAATTTTCTTTCTTAGCTTTCTGTGTACATGGATGCTCAAGGTGATTTTCGGACCAACATGGCTAGAGGAACACAAGGAGAATTAAAGCAAGTTTGTTAGAGGAGATTTAGAGCAAGGTTGGCTAACAAAGTTCATCATTCAGTATTTCCTAACATAACTAGTATGCATAGTCAGATTTCTAATTTTAAATCAATTGATTAATCTTCTTATTTCCTTTCAACAAAATGGTGAGAGTCATATGGACTTAACATGACCCATCACTTACAAAAGATTGCAATCAGGGTCCAAAGCGAAGCCTAATCCTCCACAAGGTGTGAGAGAAACTGGAGTACATTCCAGTAGTCCAGTAGACACGTACGACATGGAAGAACAGATTGAAGACATAAAGGTTCCACCACCTAGTATATGTCCACTACAACCTCAACTTGAGGAAAAGGCCGCTACGGAGAGAGGCCATAACCCGATCAACCTCAACCACATATTCATGAGATGCAGTAGAGGAATGGGCGATGAGGCTGGAGGAATCAGTAGTATAAAAAAAGAGGCTACAAATGACCCTAATGACGTGGAAGTGATAGGGACCAACCAGGAGGACGTGAATGAAGTATAAGCGGAGAGGGGTGAGGGCAAACATGGTGATGGGAGCTCTACTAAGGAGGTCCAAGGTGGTCGGCCAAAGGGTGAGAGAGAGAGAGAGAGAGAGAGAGAGAGAGAGTAGTAGTACGTATTAGTACGAACAACTAAGTACCGAACCGAACGTAGTAGTACGTAACTAAGTTGGTAAGAACGTACGTACGACTACGTTACGG